AGGGTGTTTGAGACTGCGCCTGAGGGAGTGACAAAGGTTTGTGCATTTCTCACTTTTTGTTTTAAATATCTCAGGTAACTCAGACTTGCAGTGAAGAGTGCTAAGAGTGCTTATGGCAACTTCAATTCTCTTGATGATTTGGGTCAGAGACCTATAAACAGTGGTCATTTGTCAGTGACTTTAAATTTGCTTGTACATATTAGAGCCCTGACACACTAAGCTGACTGTCAGGTGTTGGACGCCATCAGACTGTCAGTGCACCCCACCTGTGAATCCCCCCTGTAGTTGTCCTTCACTGTTGGGTCTTGCTGGCGCTGTTTTGGCTGATTTTAGCATGTTTAATTTGCGTTGGCAATTGGCCACGAGAGAGCTGAGAATCAGTGCACAAGAAGAGGAATCAAAGAGAGCAAAGCAAGCAAATGGCTCTTTCAAGGGGGCCACACAGAGAAGAGCGTCCTTTTTATTTTTTCCATTGCAAATTTCGAGTTTTATTAATACCGATGGGGAAAGTAATGTATTTTTACTGTTCGACTGTCAAAATTTTTAAACAACCCTTATTTCAACATCGTATGTAAACATGTGCGCCATACGTTTTGTTTTTTGTTTAATGTACAAATATTCACTTTATAGTAGCCCTTTTGTTTTACCTACTCAGCGCTGAGCTAGCTTTCACTCTGGGTGTAGCTTAAACATTTCAGTGTTGTGAGGCATTGAGACTATATATAATGTAGAGTTACACTCTTTGTTTAGTGCACACTATATAATTAGTTAATAAATATTGCCTTTTGCTGTACTGACATCTCAGAAAGCTAACTAAAGTACATTTTTTGGTGACCTCAAATGAATGTTTTCGGTGGCAGCTTTATCAGTAAAGGTCAACCTCTCTCAATGAACACAGCTGAGTAAGCCATGAGGTGTGTCCAGAACACTGCTGAGCTGAAAGTTGGCATACAACTTTATACTTTGAAACCTTTGATTAGTCAACAACCTCCAGCTTTCATTTGTTCTCTGGCTTATCTTTTTGGGCATTTATGTTTTCACAGGTGATTTTATCCACAAATATTGCTGAGACCAGCATTACCATCAACGATGTGGTATATGTTATCGACTCCTGCAAGTAAGTTTTACGGAAACCTTTTACTACTTTCAGATTTTTTTCTCCCTATGCCTTTATTTGAGCACACAATGACTGTACTGTGCTTCTAATTTCTTAGGCAAAAAGTGAAGCTCTTTACTTCCCACAACAACATGACCAACTATGCCACAGTATGGGCCTCCAAGACCAACCTGGAGCAGAGGAAGGGACGAGCTGGTCGCGTTAGGCCAGGTTTCTGCTTCCATCTCTGCAGCAGAGCACGCTTTGAGAAGTAAGCAAAAGCAGAAAACTAGATACTAAATTACCCTCATTTAGTAAGTCGTGAATTTTTCGTTGATTTTCCACTCGAGAACTTGGTTAAGTGATGAGAGTTTTGTCTCTGGTGACTGTTGTACAGACTTGAGACCCACATGACTCCTGAGATCTTCCGCACACCACTGCATGAAGTGGCCCTCAGTATTAAACTGCTCAGGCTGGGGGGTATTGGACATTTTCTGTCCAAAGCAATCGAGCCGCCTCCTCTGGATGCTGTTATTGAAGCTGAACACACCCTTCGAGGTACTGCATACATCTAGCCTCTTTTGGATGGGTCTGCCTTTAAAGTTGAATTCCAGCATCACAATTAGGGTGTATTGTTTGACTACTGCACAGATTAGTTTTAGCTTATGTTTGTGGAATAGCACTAAATTAGACTCACAGCTGTATGGAGTCTTTCAGTTAAACTTGGCAAATTTGATATCGTCAGTGTCTCAGCAACAATGTTATTTTTTGTGTTTGTTTCCCAGAGCTGGATGCCCTTGACTGTAACGATGAGCTGACCCCACTGGGCCGTATCTTGGCCAGACTCCCCATCGAGCCACGCCTGGGAAAGATGATGATTATTGGCTGCATCTTAAAGTAATTGTTTTCATATTGTTTTGTAACAAATTACTTTATACTTTGTTCTTAGCTGCACAGTTCTTACCGGTTGAATTTACATAATTGTTTTTGTTTTAGCGTGGGAGATGCAGTATGTACCATTTCTGCAGCCTCTTGCTTCCCTGAGCCCTTCATCAACGAGGGCAAACGTCTGGGCTTTGTTCACAGAAACTTTGCAGGCACACGGTTCTCTGACCATGTGGCCTTGCTTTCAGTTTTTCAGGCCTGGGATGAAGTCAGGTAAGAATTTCCCCTTTAGCACACATCACTAGAAAGACGCATCATCTAGGAACCATACGAAAATCTTTTTACACAGCTGTTATAATTGTATGTCTCGTTTGCAAAATAAGATTCGCCCATTTGATCTGCAGAATTTTTAAAAATTGAGTAGAATATCACACACACGGCAATAATTGTTCATCATCTGTTGCTTTTAGAATGGGTGGTGAAGATGCAGAAAACCGATTCTGTGAGCATAAGCGTTTGCACATGTCAACTCTGAGGATGACTTGGGAGGCTAAAGTCCAGCTGAAAGAAATCCTCATTAATGCAGGCTTCCCTGAAGGTCAGTCAACATTTCCTACATTTTAAAGCCCACGGTCACTTGGATAAGACATCTGAAGTTAATTGTGAGCTGCATAAAATCTAAAAATTAAGTGGTGAATGAAAAAAATCTGTTGTTGTCACTTTAATATTAGACAGTTGTAAACTTTTAATTTAAATATTTAAACATTTTTAATTTTGTCCCTTAAACATTTAACATATGGTAGATACTTCATTTTTTTATGCAAGCAGCCACCAGTCAGGCACTGATTTACTGGGAACAAGATGACTCCTAGACTAGCAAATAGAGAGCAGGTTAAATGTCAAGATAAGATATGAAAAATTGGTATCAGTAATTGATATTGGTTATGCAACCAGGGTACTGCAGGTTCTCTATTTTTCCTAATAATTGCCTTTTATTTTCTCTTCAGTTTTGTTGTTTGCAAGATCCCATTAAATATTGAAAAATGTCTATAATTTTTCTTAACTTTTGGCTTTACATCACAACAAACTTTTATTAAGGCTTCAGGTGGGGTAGCTCCAAAAACTGGCTGACATCTCTATTAAGTCCTTGTCAGTGTTTTCAAAGAAGGAAAAATAAGTTTGCTTTGCAAGTGTCATTTTCTCCCTTATGAGCATTTGTTCCTTGTATACAGATGGAAATTGTAGTTAATTTTCCACTAAGGACAATCTGAATGTTTGTTCTTTTGTTCAGAGAGCCTGATGAACCAGATGTTCAACAATGTGGGGCCAGACAATAACCTTGACGTGGTAATCACCCTCTTGACCTTTGGGTTCTACCCGAATGTCTGTTACCACAAGGAAAAGAGGAAGATCTTAACTACGGAAGGCCGAAACGCACTTATCCACAAGTCTTCTGTTAACTGCCCCTTCAGTAGTCATGACATGACATACCCATCACCTTTCTTTGTCTTTGGGGAAAAGGTTGGTTTGATGTTGTGGTCCCTTTTCTTGCTGTAAAAGTAATAATTATGTTTAACTCTGCTGCAGCTATTCAAGTCAACTGCTTTATGTTTATTACAGATTCGGACTCGAGCCATCTCAGCGAAAGGAATGACGATGGTCAGCCCTCTTCAGCTCATTTTGTTTGCCTCAAAGAAAATCACTTCAGATGGGGAAACTGTTGAGCTTGATGACTGGTAAGTCTATACCACATGACTACCTTTTTCACAGATTTGTGAGCCACTGACAAGCTTTGGTGCTTTAAAAGTCAGAGTTGGAAATCATTAAGAACATTTTGTTCCTTCGTAGGATCAAACTGCGGATCCCGCATGAAGTAGCTGGGGGTGTGGCTGCACTGAGGGCTGCAGTGGAAGCACTTGTGGTGGAGGTGAGCAAAGATCCAGAATACATTCGGAATATGGATCCCACCAACGAGCGCCTCCTCAATGTCATACGGCTCCTATCCAGACCCTCCTCTGCAGGACTCAACCTTATGGCCAACAACCAACGGTGAGAACCACATTCATACACTATCAGTTTGTGGTAACATCACTTGAAAATGTTTTATTATTATTATTATTATTATTACTGGTACAGTCACCTTGAGGCCACTTCTTTCATGCTAAACGTTTTCAGAATTTATTTAGGACCACAGAATAAAGATCTTTAACTGATTATAGCCAATCATATTCAGTGACCTTGAAACAGAGCTGTTTTTAAAATGAACTTGGAGTTCATCAAACTTTCCATCTAGTACTAATACTGCAACTATTTCATATCCTTCTAACTTTTATAGCTTTGGAGATGGTCCACGGCCGCCAAAGATGTCTCGGATGGATGGAGACGGAGGATTCAGGGGGCGTGGAGGGTACCAGGGTAATAGAGGGTTCAGGGGTGGAGATGGAGGAGGATATAGAGGAGGCAGGGGTGGAGGATACAGAGGAGGTGGTGGATACGGCGGTGGTGGATTCCGTGGAGGGTACAGAGGGTCGGGAGGGTATGGAGGTGGAGGATATAGAGGATCTGGTGGCTACCGAGGTGGCGGTGGATACGGGGGAGGTAGAGGATTTAATAGAGGTGGATATGGAGGCTTTTAGGGGAGACATCTGAGCATGTCCACAGAGAAGTTGTTTTTAGTTCTTTTTGTTTTTTATTTTGTTCACCTTTTTCCCCCCTTTTTCCAGAGTTCACATGTTTGCAATACTGTTAAATTGTTATTTAAACATAAACTGTTCTGTAAAGTAGCTATGAAATGTTTTACATTCAACTCTTGTTTAAAGCTTGTAAAAATTTGTAACTGGCAGAAATTAGAGTCAGTAACTCACCAACTTTTGGTTGCTTTTCAGATGGCTTAGACTTGGCTAGCTTGTCCAGTGCAGGAAGAGTTATGTTTGATGTGCACGGACATTGCATTACTAAACATTTCTGGACTCCTCCTAAATTCTTAGGAACAGTTTAGTGATGTTGTTTTTGTAGTGGGTTTTTTTTTTCTTTTTCTTTAAATTGTCAAATGCATGGAAATCATCATATTCACATGGAAATCATGTTATTACACAAGCCATGCTTACATCCAACATTTGAGCAAGCAAATGAGTTTGTCTGATGTTTTCATTGACTGTAGTGTGTGACTGATTGCAAAATATATTATACAACTGGTACAACATTCCTTAATTTGATGTACAAAATACAAGTTGTTCTCATTAAACTGTGTTTATTAAGTGCTGTTTGAACTCAATTTATGTATCTGTTTTCAGATATAATCAACTCACTGCAAAAAAGATGAATTTAGACTATTATAAATTGCTACAAATCATATGAAAGTTATAAACTGCTTGTTTAAAGACATTCATCAATCTCTCAACTGACAAGGACAATTAAATAACATTAAAATGCTCTTTGGCAGCAACAAATCTAACTGCTAATTTTCATCTCAAACTGTGAATTAAGATTGCTTTTTATGAGGTGAGCCACATTTTGTGCAGCAGGCCCACTTCACCCAGGCTGTTGGACTCAAGTTTATTGGTGCTGGTTTTCAGACTAAGTTTTTGAATAGCTTTGGCCAGCTGACTAGATTCATTCTTGTCACCACTTGCAGTTACCTGGTCTTCATTAACATTGCCTTGGATATTATCAGGCACCAGTACTGTCACCCCATAGCCATGGTTGTCATGGATGTAGTTCTCAGACATCCTGAGCTGTGGCTCTGGAAGGACCTAGAAAGGAATATTGGAGACAAGAAGTAAAAATTGGTGTATTGTTTTTGTCGTTCTGTGCCACTACTGTGTAGTTCCTTTAGTCACATTTGTATGTTGTATATATTTAAATGTCACAATATTAAGACCAGTTGTTCTGCTTAAAATCTATTCTACCTTCATATTGATGCCACCCAGTGAGTTCTTGGGGTCTTTACTGGTTTGGTTGCTGCAGTGGTGGATTTCATTCTGGTGAAGTTCAGCCACACTCCCTGGGTAAAGCTCTATACCAGCTCCCTGAAAAAACAATCATGTTTTACATATTGTCCATACATGGAAGAAGGGTAATGCATAAAATACAGAGTTGAACCACTAAGTTCAAACAGACTGTACCTGAGCTCCAGTGACCTCACAGTTGGTCATGAAAAGAGAAGCACCAGTCAGCACACACACACCAGTGCCCTCACACTTTAGTACACAGTTCTTCAAAGTCATCTGGCCTGACTCCACCACCACAATGCCATCACATGTGCCCCTCTGAACCAGTGTCAGGTCCTGGAGAGTCACCTGAGACCCCTTGGAGGCCACAAAGTTGTCACTGGTGGGCTCAGAGAAGATCACCACTTCCTGCCTCTCTCCAGCTCCTGTTAATGAATCCTTTGTTAAAACATTACTTTTGGACCCTCTAATTCAGTTTGTCTTAATTCTGCTCCTGGGGACCCACTGTCCTGCACAGTTTAAACTATTCCCTAGTTGATACAGGTGGGGCAGTAGATCCCTTGGAGCAGGATTGAGAAACATGACAGAAATGTGTAATTATTTCTAAATATAACACATTGATGGATTTGATAAAAATGAGGCTCAGAGGGCAGTATCTAACCCTTAATGTGGATGTCATCTGTGAGTGAGGCCAGGCTGTCTGCTTGGTATTCCCCAGGGAAGATAACCACCATGTCTCCAGAGAAACATGACTCTAATGCTCCCTCTAAAGAGTCATGCTGCTGTATAAGAGTGTCTAAGGAGAAAGTCTTTATCTATAGGAGAAGAAAGAGGGGAAAAGGCACATTAATATAGAAATTAAAACATAATTCCACTCATTAAACAATAATCATGACAGATATTGCACATATGATGGAGATCATCTGTATTCTGAATTGTAATATGTCAGAAGACTCATTTTACATGGCAGCTGAGATACAAAGTATGGGTTATTTCTGTTTGAAAGGGCAGTGGTGATGCACCATATCAGTTGTCATAATCTGAGCAACAATGTGGGTCACTTTCTTCCCAGTTGGTCTATGTCCCTTTCTGTGCTTGTAGATCCTTGAATAAAATGGGCCATGACTCCTGTACAACAAACAAGATTAAGATCTACTATTTTAAATTCTGTCATGCCGTAATAATTATGAGAATCTTCATTCTGCACCACTTCTTTTTATACCTGAGTCTCATATCCTCCCAAAATTTGAGAAGGCCACACAACATTGACATCTCATAGTACTTCTTCCAGCACTCCACCGCCTCCCCTGGTGTCGCTTGACCATGGATGTTGGTCTGAAACTTTGTCAGCTCCAGTCGTTTGCTTCGGTACTCCTCTAGGGTTGTATGGTATTTCTTGCTTATAGGGCCAGGAATGGTTCCATCCTGAATATGATAATAGCTATCCACAAATATGAAATTAAAATTTATCTGGTGCACATTTACGGTACTAACTCAATTTCAAAAAAATGCTAGGAGGTAAAGTGCTAATAAAAGCAGAAAGCAGTGATTTATAAATCTGCTTTGAGCTGTAATGGAGCAAAACCAGTACACAGACAAGATATATAATGTTTTACATTATTACCTTCATAGTTTTTCGTAAATATATATTTCTTCTAAAACTGATGCCTGCCACATGTTCCGAAAAAGTTAGGACAGGGAAATTTAAGACTGAAAATGTGAAATGTTCAAAAACATCTTGAACAGATGATGCAATCAGGCTTGGGTATAAAAGAAGAATCGAGGAAAGGCCTAGTACTTAATGAGCAAGGACTGGTCAAAGCAATGTGTGAAATACCCTTAAACATCTCTTCTTTTGTCTTCAGTTTGAGAAATGAATAACAATTCAAACTTTCCACCAGCCTCTTGGGCAAGTTTTCAGATTTACAAATAGATATAGTTATAGCATACTGTAAAGTTTTCAGAGGTATCCCAGGCATAGTTATAGTTGCTAGGCTATGAAGGACCAACAGGGTGAACCCATTTGCTACAGCTCCACCCTGAGGCAGATCAATGCTGCAGCTTGTGGGGGTATTAGTGGGTAAATTTCACCATTAACACGGAACACATTTTGGAATAACATATGCTGCCTGCTAGATGCCATCTTTTTCAGGGACGTCCATGCTTATTTCATTATGACAACGCCAAACCACATTCTGCATGTTACAACAGCATGGCTGCAAAATCATCAGAGAGTGTGGGTGCTACACTGGCCTACCTGCAGTCCAGAACTGTCTCCCTTTGAAAATGTGTGTCTTATTAAGCTTAAAACACTACGGCATTGGCCCTGTGTAACATAAGACTGTCAGAAAATACACTTTCAAAAAAGTTTGGTAAACGTTCCCAATTCCCAACTTTTTTAAACAAACATGTTGCAGCCATCAAATTAGGACTTTATAAGTTCACAGGGTAAAATATCAAATATTGTTTTTTGACCATTTTCAATTTAATAGAGGTCAAACAGAATTTACTAATCACTGCTTTCTGTTTTGTTAGCATTTGACATACTGCGCCAACTAATATTTATTTTAATTGGCATGCATCATACATTACCTAATTGGGTTATTATTCTTTTGAGGACTGTAATGTAATTCACCCTGCATATTCTAGTCATTCCTCCACATTGTCCCAATGGTTATGGTTACCATTTGAGGATACTTGTTTTAGTTAACTTTGCTCAGTCAGTTGCCTATTTATTAGGTACATTTACAGTACAGTGCAAAAGTCAGAAACCACCCTTCATTTGTATTTCCAATGAAAACAGTTAAGTACAAGTTAATCATTTTTCAGGCAATATTTCTAAGAAAGTTAGATAAAAGACAATTACTTGCAAAAGAAAGATGAAAGTCTTTTAAAAATTATACAAATTGTCACTCCTAACAACTGTGCAAAACCTGGTAGTCCACCAAAACTGTCCTCAGCAGATAAACAGCACTTAAAACTTTCATGATGGAGAGATAGGAGGAAATCAAGCTCTACTCATGCTTTAGATTTTTAAAAATTCACAGGTGCTCCACTGTGAGAAGACAACACTATGGTTCTGAATGGATGTGCGGCTGTGAAAAGGAAATAGACAAAAAAAGGAGAAAATCAAAGAAACTGGAGTGTTCTCAAAACAATGGCCTGCCCAGACCTCAGCATCACAGAATGTGTTTGGAATTACTTAGATTGTGAGAAAAGCTAAAAATGTAACCCACTTCAACCAAAGACTGAACTTTGGATGTATCCCTGCAGATTAAAACCAAAAGAAAGTCTCTCAAAAAGAATGGAGGCTGTCAATAAAGGCAAAGGTTGGACAGACTAAATACTGAATACTGACATTATTTTTAGATGTTGAGGCTTTGAAATAAAAAGTTTGTACTTAATGGCCATTTTTACTGAAAAATAATCATAGAAATAAATAAAGGGTGGTCTCTGATGTTTGCGCAATGCTGTTAGTGCTGTACCTTGTAGGTGCACTCTGAGGGTATGGTGGTTTCTTTCCAATGATGGATGGAGTAGTTGGGTGGTTGCTAAATTGTGCAGCAACAGATGGGCTACAGTCAGTAATTGTAAACCATGAAAGTGTACCTATATGTCACCTAAGAAAATGACCAAGGAGTATAGGCACAAGGTAGGTGTAAACTGGGAACAGTATGTCAATGTTGTAACTTACAGCTGCAAGCGTTTCTCAATTTGCCCTGCATATTCTGGACATTCCTCCTCATCGTCCCAATCTCTCCACAGGAAATCATAGAAAAACCTAATCCATGAAAAAAGAACTATTGGTCAAAGGAAATGTTATACCTTAATATTTGCTTGTCAGAAAAAATCAAGCTTTGAATTGAATACAATTTGTATAAGTACGAAATGTAATTCAATTATAAGTATTACTGGTATCTGAATTATAACATGGTATCAGCGTGCTCGATTATGAAACTGAATAGCCTAACACTTCCATGTTCATTGATCTTATAGGACTGAGCATCTGTATTATGTATTCCATGTTAAGAATATGGTTATATGGTTTAAAGGGCTGAATACAAATAAGTGACATTTTTGATGACTATGATAATACGCGTTTACCTTGCATGTTCCAGGGCCTCAGCGATATTGTCCACTTCAGAGCCTAACCCCTGGACAGGGTATACATCTAAGATTGGAACAGAGTAATCATATTCCTTCAAGACTTCTTCTACCAACTCTCTTGGTAGATTAGCGACATTTGAGGAGAGCGGTTCTGCCACAGATACAGTGACACGAAGTGGCAGCGCTTTTCCTTCACATGGTGTACAATTCACCTGAGAGTGAGACAAAAATATTGTACCTTATAGTCCATACTTATTGTCATAATACCAGTTGTCTATTTGTGTAAAACTCACAGTACCTGGACAAGTACGCCAACACTTGGCACATCCTCAGTATCACAATTCAACAACAGGACGTCAGGGGGAGTTTTCCATACTGCTGTCCAAGAGCGTTTATTACCGATTTGCTCAGTTACATAAAAGGCAATCGCTTCATCTGCCTCTTCAGCCTGGTAGAATTTAACAATAATACCAACCACTTAATTTAGTATACAAAAAAATACAGCAGAACATGTTCCAATTGGTCTAGAGTGATGGAAATGTTTACTTATATCTTGTGTGAACATTTTCAGTAGTCATTTGATATTTTTAATTCAAGTAATTTTCACGTAGACATGTGATTATCATACTTTTATTCACAGTCAGTTTGGGATTCTCTCTTGTTTTGTTAAAATCACTACCCAGAGGAAAAAATAATAATTTTTCAAGATTGTCCCAAAGAAATAAAGCAGATGTCAATATTGTATTAAAGAAGGACCCCTGTGGCCGGTTGCACAAGCTATGCATACGTTCAAACGTAGGCTAGTTGTAAAGTAAGTGTTTACTAAGTTCAGGTTTATGCATTACTAAAACAAAACGAGTTGCACCACACAAGCTAGTTTTAATGTTGAGCTTAGTAGTTACTGAATATTTACACCACCCTCTAAGCAGGTGTACGAAACCACCAGAAAACACACTGAAATCACAAAAATGTTTTTGGTTAACTAAGTTGCTAAAACTTCTAAAGGCTATATGCTGTGGTTTTGCTTACAACTCTAACCATTGCTCTGGATTTAACTTCAAGCATTAAGCTAAATACACACAGCGTTCAAACAGCTGCGTATTTGGTTGTATCAGAGAATTATTAAAGAATAAACAGACAATTGCTATAGATAATTAGTTTTATTCAGTTTTAGACTGATTCTGAACATGTCGTCTTGGCATTAGTTAGTTGTTACTAGTTAAGACATGACTTACGGATTTGTGTTGCAACCTAATTTAGTAAAAGGATAGTTTGAAACTAGTGTTAACTAAGGACTTAGTAAAGACTTTACATCCAAACTTAAGAATAAACTTAGCAAAACTGGTGCAACCCAGTCCTGATTTCTAAATTCTTTCTCCTAAAACCCCCTTAGAAAAAAGAGGAGATTAACATTAGCGTTTCACTGTAATATGTTCTGGTGTTGAATGAGAAAGGCATGAGTTCTCCTTCTACACTGAGAGACTGCGATAAACAATTAATCTATACAAGAAAATGACGAGATCTTACACTTTTCTTATGGAGATATTATTCAGCTAAATTGGGGTGAGATGAATCAGACACAAAAGAGTTAATACATAGCTATGTGTGACAATACTTTGATCAAAGTTAGAAAATGTGAGGGTTATTTCTCAGGTGCCAGATTTCAGAAAAAGCAGAAAATTACCTAAATCTTGTTCTGATTTCAAACAGGACTTCACCATGTAAGCTAGGTAATTGTAACCTACATGAGACTGAGCAGAGATCTGATTTAGCCAGCTCAAATATTTCTTTTCTATTCCTATTTGACCAAAATGTATCTAAAATGATATGATGATAAAATAACGTTTAACATTCACTTTTATCCATAAGATTTGATTTAAAAAAGTTAATGGGTTAAGTTAACCGTTAGCTAGACGTCAGTTGTGTCATGACTCCAGCGAACATTAGCTAACCTAACCTAACTATCTAGCTATCGTGCTGAAAGCATAACTTACCGTGCAGGTCCCGAGTATCTGATCGCAGAAGAGGGCGACTCTGTCTTCATATGTGAGCGGCTTTGTGGGGATATAAATCTGTGGTAACATTTGAGCCTCTTTGGTAGAATCATCTGGCTGCTCTCCATCGGGATTTAGGAGTTTCTTGCCGTTAAAATTCTCCCTTTTCTCGTCTGCCGTCTTGTGGGAGCTGCAGGTTTCCTCTGGAGGATCGTTTACTGCTTTTTCGCCTAAATTAACGCTACCTGATGTGTCTTTTTCGCTTTCGTCGTATTCTGTCTCCTGGACTACATCGCCGTCTTCAGAGGAGTCGTTTGCACACCACGTTGCCATGTTTTGTTTCTAGATATTTTAGCTCGTTAGTTAGTTTAGCTACGTTAAAATGCTAAGCTACTTTTAGCGATTTCAAAATAACGACCGTTACTCTCGCGCGCCAGCGGTGACGTGTCTCTCTTGCGCGTGGAACCAGTTCCCGCTCATGGTGGTTATTTGTGTTAGCTAGTTAGCCAGCGAGCTAATCGGCCCGTTAGCAGATATCAGAGAGAAGCTGCCGCTAATGCTGTGAAAAAAAATCGTATTAACCCCCAGAGACCCGGGGCTACATGTCCATAATACATTTTTGTTCTTTTAAAACTGTTTTTAGGACGCTGAGTATGAGTAGTATGATTTTTTTTCTTTGGGGTCGATTCTGGGGGACCGTGGCACAGTTGCAATGGAGGAATTTTAAAGGTATTGTCACTTGTTTTAGTACAGTTTTATAAAATGTCTAGCTTTTTATTTAAGTATATAATGTTATATACACACAGAGGTGGGGAGTAACCAACTTACACCCTTAAAATACGTGTTCAAAAGTTCTATAGTAAAAGGAATGGCTCTATTTAGAACCATGAGTGCTAACCTGTATAGAACCATTCCATGCTTAAATGTTTCTTTGCACTGTGAAATTGTTCTTCAGACTGATGGAGAATGAGCTGTAACCTATGTGGTTCCATGTAGATGTCAAGCTTGTAGCAATAGAAGAACCCTTTTTGGTGCTAGATAGAACATTTTTGAAAATGCTGAACCATATAGCTACACATTCTCCATCAACGTGAAGAACGATTTCACCACGCAAAGAGCCATTTAAGCATAAAACGATTCTTTATAGCTAGAAATCTTGGTCCCAAATAGAACCGTTTCCTTTACTAGAAAACCCTTGAAGAATCTTCTTTTTAAAGAGTGTAGTTGCAGTTAGATATGTGTACTGAAGTAAATATATATATACATATCACTGTTGTCGGAAGAAAACCTTGTATCTCCATTTTTGACGTTTTCCAGTTTTTGACATAATAATATATTTTGTTCTTTTAAAACTGTTTTTAGGGAACTGAGTATAATTATTTATATAAGTATGATTTTTTTCCCCTTTGGGGTCAATTCTGGGGAAATGAAGCCAGCTAGCATAGTCGCAATGGAGGTTTGGAAGGTACTGTCACTTGATTTAGAATAATTTTTATAAAATATCTATCTATGTATCTAATTATATAACATTATATACACACAGATGTGCGTGGTAACCAACTTACACTCTTAAACATGTTTTTTCGTTCATGCTTAAATTGTTCTTTGCATGGTGAAATGGTTCTTCAGACTGATGGAGAATGAGTTGTATATGGTTCCATATAGATGTCATGCTTGTAAAGATGGAAAAACTCTATGCCCTGTGCTATGTATGAAAATGATGAACCTTATACAACTTATTCTCCATCAACGTGAGAAGCAGTTTTACCATGCAAAGAGCCATATAAGCATGAAGTGACGCTTTATAGAAATCTTGGTCCTAAATAGAACCGTCCTCTTTACTAAAGAACCCTTGAAGAACCATCTTTTTTAAGAGTGTAGTTGCAGTTACTCAGTTATGTGTACTCCAGTAAAGATGTGATAAATATATACTTTCTTGAGTATTTTCAAATGATAATGCTTTTACTTCTGTTGAAATAGTCATATTTGTGAGGAAAGTGAACTATTTTACACAGTTACATTTGAATCATTAACATTTGGTTACTAATTCCTTTTTTATATTTAGTTTTACTTGGCAAGTTTCTCAGAGTAAGCCTAAGTCTAGACTAAACTGGAGTCTTAATAGTGAAACACAACTGTCCAAGGCTTAATCCATGATGTTAAGTAAAGACTCTGTCCACTGGAGGCAGCATCTGTTCTACTTTGGAATTGGTTATACCTCTGATTTCTGAGGTTTATGATTTTATTTTACACTAAAAGTGCATCAAAAAGAAAAGAGTAGAGCCTAACAAACATCGCTCCATATGCTGTTCCACTGCAGTTCTGTAAATTACTTAGTACTTTAAAATAGTTTTTGACCTGCTACTCTTGTACTTCTACTTGTGCTTTGTGGAAAGCTACATGTGTTTTTACTTATGTCGTTATTTCACAGAAGTAATAATACTTTTACTTGGGTATGAGTTTAGGCTACTTTACCCACTTTTGCATACACATTATTTTACATGTAAGCTGTACATTAATATAATATTTTCAATTGTAAGATTAGATAAGATAATTCTTTATTAGTCCCACAACGGGGAAATTCTCAATTTGTAGTTGAATTCATATGCTATAAACATTAGGAATGCATTATAATATCCGAATCAAATCGTATCTGTAGATACTCAATATCAGACAGATATTTTAGATGATATATCAAACCAATATGACGTATTTATTGTTATCTGGAAGAGCAGAATGTCTAGATGAAGCTGGGCTATTATGCTAAAGTGTTTGTTTTTGTATTGCATTTGTAATCGGCAGATATTTATAACATCAAATATGGCATCTATATTTCTGATATCAGTGTATCCTTAATAAATTTAATAGATAAGACTGCACAAAACCATGCACTTTCAGGCATTCAAAACGCCTGATCCACATCATAAAGGTCTTGAAAATTGATAAACTGGCCAGGTGTGTTATGATGAGGAGGACTTTAAAATGTACAGTGCAGGGGGTCTGCAAGACCGGAGTTGGATCCATTTATTATAATATTACAATATTATAATGGAGTAATTGGAGTTGCTGTGTAATTAATGCTGAAAAGTGGTGTAAGTGTGTATATGATCATCTTTTATTTATTTGATGTAAATTTTTTTCACTAAACATGTTAGGAAAGAAGGAAAAACATATCATTGATCAAACGTGCTTAGAATTCTGCTAGATTTACAAGCAAGGATGGCAATAAGAGGCAGACATATTGTTTGACTTTTGGCATGCTGTGAAATTCAGAATATGAGTTTTTTCATCACAGATGATGCTATAATACTGTTTAGTGCAGGGGTATCCAGTCTTATCCCCAGAGGTCCTGGTGTGGCTGCAAGTTGTCGTTCCAATCAAGTGAGAGCATAAAATATTTGAAGACTGAGACCAGTTGATTAATCAAGTATAATCAGGTGTGCTGATGCTCGGTTAGAATAAAAAAAAAAATGGCATCCATCCTTTTGCAGATAAAACTGGGCACCTCTGGTTTAGAGTGTGGTTTGCTGGAGTGTAGTAGTTGTGTATGTTTATTTAGCGACATTTAGTCAGTTATAAATAGAGCACTTTAGAGGGTCTCTGAGGGGCAAGATATAAGATGTCTAGTTATCCCTCGGAAGTTATATGGATTGCTGGAATATGTAGTTTTAGTGTCATTTAGTCAGTTATAAATAGAGCGCTTTAGAGGGTCTCTGAGGGGCAAGATATAAGATGTCTAGTTATCCCTCAGAAAGTTATAGCTGATGCAGTGTTGAGTCATTACCAACAGAGGGAGTATCACGACCACTTTGCCTCCACCCAGAGTAAATAGATGATGAATAATTTCCTTAAATTTTCCTGGTTTTCCTGTAAACTGTAAAGACTAATGCTGGGCTTTTACCACAGTATGAAACATTCCTTCACATGTTCAAATTCTTTATTATAAGAAAAAAAATGCTTGTTTTTTATTCTTTGGTAACATTCTCTTTATTCAGTGCCCTCGATCTGGATAAAATTCACTTCATTTTATGCTCAGCATCCTGAGAAATGTATTCATACCAGATTTGTTCTTGTTTACAGGTGTGTCACAATTACTGGTGTGAATTTAGTACTTTGCGCACCCTCTCATTAATAAGATACGCACTGAATCTTTTCTTTCTTGTATGAATCTTTCTGTAGTGTTTAATGAGCCGTTGGGAAAATGTTCCTTATTCTTTATCGGCCTTGTAAATGGATCTAAGGACACTCTTCAAGGCAGAATATCTCCAGGTCTCTGAGTGTCCTTGGTCCTCCCTTCTGGACTTCCCTGCTCTTCCCCCAGGTTTTCATGTGAGTTTAGGACATTGGATTGGAGTAGCTATAACTACTACTATAAAAGCTTTATTTAAAACTATGCTTTGTACCACAGTCATTCTTAATGAATTAATGATGGCCAATTTTTGATCTAGTGACTTTGCTGTAAGATGTCCTCAAATTCAGAGATGCTATGTAACTTGTAAAGATTACTAGGGCCTTTAGAAGCAAACACTGTTTCAGAATCTTTTATCCAGCACCAAACTATACTGTATACTTCATTACTAACATATTCTGAATTGCTTTCATTTTACCATAGAAATTCTAGTAATTAAATTTCCAGTAGTGTTTAGCCTGGTCCATGTGCCGCATGCTCTAACTGTGAAGAGATCAGAATAGCAAAATATATATGTCGTTTCTCAGACAGATTAAGCACATTTCCAACTGTTTTGTCTGGTGTTGGTATATTGGTGTAGATGGGTGTCGGTTTTTTGTTGGGATATCAACAGAAAGTACTGGATCAGATATCAGAAGGAAAGACTGACCAGTCCAGTCTTCTAAGAGGTATAGCATGAAATAGCACTCATGCACATTGTGTGATGTCATGTTGTTAGCTGTGTATTTTTTCCTGTGGGGTAGTAATTAAAACGTGATAGTCTACCTTTAAAGCTCATCTTGAATGAAGTGATTCATTTAAAAATAGCACATTTTTAAGGTTAGAACAAATATTGGATCGGTATTGGTATCAGCTGACGCCTAAAGTTTTATTGTCAATACTAGTGTTGGAAAGACAAGGTGGTATCGTGTCATTTGTAGTTTTAACTGAGTTCCTTCTGGCCTAAAACAAGTCTTTAGTATGTTATTTGTTGTGTTATGCAGTAGGCTATTCTGTACTGTAGCTTTATAGCCCTCTGCCTCGTTGGTTTGACAGAATTTATGATTTTATATCATTTTCATGTTTTCATTCACCAGTGTTCTGTCCATACAGTACCCAGCATGCATTGCACAAATACGTCAGCCAGTCGTGACATCTAGTCTAG